TCCGAGACGTTTCGGGGGCTCTCGGATCACCTCCGGGGCCGCCACCGCCCGCCGAGGGAGTTGGGGGGTGGCAAGCCCGGCCTAAAGGTGTGGGAAGGGGGGCGCCGCTCGGTGGCCTTCGCCGGGGCTGCCAGGGAAGCTGCCTGGGAATCGAAGGGTGTTGTTTGATTTGGGAGAGAGTAATATGGCTGATCTAAGAAGGGAGCGCTGAGCGAGATCGGTCTCCTCCTCCTCCTCCTCCTCCTCCTCCTTCGTGCGAGCGACGCTGGAGAGCTTGGGTTCTTGACATGTACATAACTTCTCCGGGTTGTCAGTTTCGGGCACTGATGCCAGCTTCTTCGTTCTCCCAAGGGCTTTGGTGATCGCTTCCAAGGCTGCGGATAATGTTGTGCAGGAAAAATTGGACGGCGGTGAGTACCCTGCCGTTAACTTCTTTGTATTGGAGGGCGAGATGTGACACCCACCCCGGGGGGCAGGCCGTGTGACAGTGCGGTGGAGACGGTGGAGTGGGTTAGAAGAGCGACCGGGGGGGGGGGTCCCCGGGAACTCCCCGTGGAAGTTAGGCGGAATCTTAGCTTAAGACACACACACATAGTATAATCTCAAAACGTCCTGAAAAGGATGATGCCGGTCTTTCTTAAGCCTTGGTCACCCTGCGGCCAAATGGAAAGGTCTGCTGTGCAGTGACAGCTAAATTATGGATGAAAGCCATGTGTTCAGATGTCTCTGATCCAGGCTTCAAAAAAATTGTACAGGTGAAATTATTTTAATAGATTTTGTCTGTTTTGGTGCCAGATTGTTGAATAATCTACAGTAAAGAATGTGAGATGAACATTTATTAAAGTCACCGGTACAACTGTTTTGTTTTTTGCAAGCAATGTCAAGTTTAACCATTGTACGCTCAGAATTCTAAAAGGAAACTTCTCTATGTAATATTTTCTCTTGTGACAATTTGCTGGAAGTATTAGATGGAGTGTTCTAAAATGCATCATTGAAGCTACTTTAAATTGCAGTTGGTTTTCTGTAAGAAATAGGTCGTAAGTGAAAAAAATGGGTTATGTAATCAGTTTGTGTCTACGAACTTGATACATAGTGTAAGGAAGAAACTCTTCCAGCAAGTTGTACTAATGCCATTCTTTCAATAGAAGGCCTTTATAAGTACTTTAGTTGTATTTTCAGACACAGAAGTCTTTAAAGGGTACCTAGAACTACATGTATCTTGATATGAACTAAATGACCCTAAGTCATTTAGCCTAACAACATACATTTGATTTTTTTTAAAAAATTCTGAATTTCTGAAGTATGATACAAGCTATTGTTTAAATGTGCATAATGCTATACATGTGCCTGACTGAAGTACATGGGAACAGGTGGGTCTGTGCTGATGATGGGAAGCTTTGTAACATCAGTGGTATGAATAGTTCTGAATAAAACCTTTTAGACCCAAATAAAAATGCTGAGTGTAGCTAGGTTAATTTTGTACTGAGTTTTTAAAAGTACTGCTGGCATATGGTTTTATGCATAATAAAACAAACCCATCCCATGGAAAGAATGTCTTGATAATAAAATACCTGACTGTTGAAAATATTAATAACTTTAGTACTTTCAAGACAAATACAAAGTAAATGCAACATACTGTTTTGTCAGCAGTGTGATACAGTTGAATTCAGGTTAAGTAGTAATTTCTTAATGTTCTGAAATTAGTTGCTGCATACCCCATGGATGCAGCTGTCACAAACATTTGTACAGTATTTGGAACCTGACATATCACAGTTCAGTGACTTTTTATAAATTAGTAAAATATACCATCAAGTAGCGGTCGAAATGACTAGATAGGGGGGGTTTCAGTTGCTATACCTCCACAATGTTGTTTGTCTCTCACATATTATTTATTCATTTTTTACTATATTTATATCCTATCTTTCCTGCACTGACCTCAAGGTGGCTTGCGTAGCTGTTCTCCCCACTTTATCCTTAGGTCTCTTCATTGGGAGAAAGGTGGCATTGAAGTAAATTTAAGAAAAATATTTCTACTCTTTTGTCTTATTTGCATTACATTTCCCTTGTTAGTTTTTGTTCTGCCAGAGTGTGTGTCTTTTTGAGGAATTTCTGCTTATAACCAGTGGAAACTAGCTATTGCAATATAGCGTGTGTATGTGTGTGTGTGTGTGTATTTTCCTGGTTCACTGTACTAACATCATTATCTTATGTGCTTCTAGTTTTAATAGTAAGTCCTATTGAGACTTTAAAAACTGCTTATATGCAGTACAACAAATGGGAATTATGTTTCTAGAATAGTAAGTGAAACAATAGACAGCACTAGAGATTTGGAAGATATAATTGCCAGTGCCATAATAAAGTTTTTGAAATGGTCATATTAAAACTACTGATTTGTTAGGAGTTTTACAGTTAATGTAACAGATTGGTTGTTTATGTATTAATGATGCCAGTAAAGGATTGTTAAATCAGTTAAGTTTGTTGGTTCCCAACCTTGGGTCCCTAGATGTTCTTAGACCACAACTCCCAGAAGTTCTGGCCAGCATAGCTGGTGGTGAAGGCTTCTGGGAGTTTTAGTCTAAGAACATCTAGAGAAACCCAAGATTGGGAATCATGTTTTTAGATCTTTCTTTCTGACTGACTGACTGACTGATGACTGACTGACTGACTAACTAACTAGGTACTTTTGTTTCAGGAAAAATAGCTAAATGATTTGCATCTTTTCACTTATACTGTGGTCATAATTACTAAGAAACTAAATAACTAACTAAATAATAACTAACTAACTACCCTGTTTCCCTGAAAATAAGTCCTAGTATGATTTTTCAGGATGCTCGTAATATAAGCCCTAACCCCAAAATAAGCCTCAGTTAAGTGAAACCCTGCCCTCCACCATTGTGCAGCAACCAGAAGATGATATGACTGTACAGTATTTGAAAAAATGTAGATTGTTGTACAGGAAATCCCCTGAAAACAAGCCCTAATGCATTTTTGGAGCAACAAATTAATACAAGACCCTGTCTTATTTTCGGGAAAACATGGTAGCTAAATAAATAAATATATAAATAATTCCGCATGACACTATATGTAAAGTTTGTTATTATTAGGCATCCTTCAGTCTCGAGAGACTATGGTAACGTGCTCTCTATGGAGGACTTGGAATAGTGTCTAGTGTGGCTGAGGAGGCCAATTCGAGAGTGACAATCTCTTCCACACTGTAAGTGTGGAAGGGATTGTCTTCCACAATGTAAAGGTTGAGGAACTGACTTATGAATATCAAATCCATTCCTTGTAAAGGAAGATTAGTTAGTATATTTCCAAATATTAATTGTCTCTTTTATATACTGGGTGTTTTACAAATGGTTATACAGTCTTGACCTAAAAGAACATACAACCAAAATAAAAAGTGATGGAAGCAAAATGAAGATATAAAGAAATATTTAAAATATAAAATTCAAAGTAATTTAGGCATACATTCACTATATTTAGCATGGCAGATCAGGTCTTTTTACTGTGAATTTGACCCTCTAACGGCATTTTGAAGCATCAGGCTGTTCCTGGGGGGCAGCATGAAAAAAGGAGATTACCAGAAATATTTGACAGGCAGGCAGTCTTAAGCTTGGAAAATTGTCAGAAAAGATTGTCTTCCTCTTTGAGAACATGACAAAAGGATGGATGAAACAGAAGTAAAAAACCTTGGCAGAATTAGATGAGACCTCACCACTGAGGATGAACATTGCAGGTGTTTCATTAAAAAAAGAGGTGACTTCAGTAGCAGTGTTTGTGATAGATTGCTGGAAGACAAGATATCTGTGATTAGATGAAACTGTCTGTGCAGCCAGCTCTCATTTACTGCCCAAGAAACTCAAAGAACTCTTCGTCCGAACTGTTTATACCCCACAGCTAAAGATCCTTGTCTGCGGGTTTAGGAATTTGTAGGCCAACAGTAATCTACTAACTATTGTGGGCCAGTATCCTATTAATTATGACCCCAGTATAAGTCAAAGGAAATTTCAGCAGCAAATTGACATTAGTTAAGAAGTCAGTGTTTCCATTTCTTTTTTTGCACACCAGTTGTGTGACTCAGTGCAGGCTGAGAAATACAAGATTTTACTTCTTTCCTGGTGGCAATTCATTGCTGAGATTTACACCACTGGATTTATGGGAGTATGAGTAAGTAGTCGGATTGGGTCAGCAGTAGATACGAAAGGTTGTGTCTCTTGAAATTGTGGTAAAAAGTAATATCGGAGCTTTAAAGTGGCTAATTTATTAACACTGATTAAAGCAGTTTCAATGAAGAATTGTTGTAGATATGTATTGTATTGGTAATGTCACCAATGTACAAACAAATGAATACTTCTAAATCAATAGTTTCTTAAAAGTATTTACTGTGATAACTCCCCAGTTAGATGCCATATGGGTTCTTTGAAACCAACCTAATAAGTTTCGTTGATGTTCAAGAGCAGTTATTACGGCTGCCTGGACTAGTATGTTTGTTGAGGGAATATTCCACCCCATGGTTTTCCTGGAATCTTTGACTACCATTCACATTCGTATTCTTTGCACAAGGAGTAGATCAATCTCCTAATCAGTTCATTTATCTTTAGATATCAAAGAGCTGATAGTGGTGGAATTGTTAAGAAAACATGGAAGTCAGTTATGGTTCTCCAGATCTCAGCAACCTGAAGCACACTGATTAATAAAAACTATATATTCTGTATCCCCAAACAGTTTCCTTTTACAAATATAACTGTGAAATTTTAAAATTTCATTCCGTGCAAGGAAACAGCATAGACCAATAAGATGTTCAATAGGCAAGAAATAACACAGTTGTATATACTTGTACCATTGATTTTACCACTGTCCTTGATGCATAATATAGCTTGGTTTAGTGCATCACAGGTCACACACATATGTAAAATGTACCTTAAAATGCATCTGTGCAATAACGGATACATAGTGAATTACACAGATTCTGTCTAAATTATTTCTACTTATACTGACCTTCTATCCTGAAAGAAAGTGGATAGTATTACCCAGGAATTCATAAAGCCCTGCTCCACTATTTTCCCTGACTAGAGTTAACATTTGGAAGCGTATTCTGAATGAACCTCAAATGTGTGCTTGAGTTTTATACCAAAGTTTAGTTTTTAAAATGCTTGAAATGAAGACATACGTTAATCTGCAAGGGCAAAATCTTACTGAGTTTTTATTCTTCCTTTTTTATACCACAGTACAATTAATAAGGATATCAGATAATTTTCACCTGGTAACAAGCAACTTCATAAGCATTTGTGATAGCGAGCATCAAGACTTCCGGAGTACTTGTGGGGAATACAATACAGTGACATATGTATGAAATTGCCTGGTCTCCTCACTCACTAAGGACTGTATTGGTGCAACTCCCTCTCCC